ATGTTGCAGCGTCAGGCACCTTCACGATGCGGTCCGCAAGCTCCAACTCAACATCCACAATCCCCATACTGTGCAGCCAAGTGAGCTTTCTCTTAGATTTGAGATTCTCGAAGCCGCGTTCGTAGCGTTTTTGTAGCACCTCGACTTCCTCTGGCACCTTAAACTCGTCTTCCTTCATCGCAGGCCAAAACAAACGACTCAATATTTTTGCGTGCAGCTGTACCTTTTCTAAATCAACCTCATCTGTAGATTCATGGGGGCCTAGTTCTTCATTGATTCTGATGGCAGTATTTGAGCGCTTTGAATCAGAGATATCCTTCAACATAACGTCGCAGCCTTGCATTGCTGTTTCTCCAAAGCGAAGCTTTAACAACTCCACAGTCCGGATTTCCTTCTCAAAGGTCCATCCATCTGTTCCCAGAAGACTACTAGATAAAACGGCTTGAATCTCCTTTGTCCAGACTTCTTTGCTATCCCAGAGAGATATCAAGCTCCCGACAACATCTAAACCCTTACTCCTTCTAAATTCAGGGCCAGCATCGACAGGATCGGGTGCCCATGTCATATCATCATAGTCCAGCTCTTCAAACCCGCCTCCTTGCTGCGCCATAAGAGCTGGAATGCCTCTTCCTAGTTCTTTAGAAAGTTCCCCCAGCTCTTCAGGATCACCTTCGCCAGGAGGGAGAGATTCGGACATTATCCCGCGGACTATAACACGTACAGTATCATCTCTATCACGCAGGTATCGGCGGATACCACGTGAAACACGATCAAGCAGAACACCACGGGGATCTAAGACTGTGAAGGCACGGATCAGGGAGATATATGCTCGGAGAATATCCGAGGTAGCTGCAGCAGGGTGGAGAAGACGACTAGAGAGAGCAGATGTGAATGTAGTCGTGAGATGGAGACGAGTAGGTGGAGACGTGATATAAGACTATATATATTCTGATGTCAGTATTCATATATCCAGAGTTTGTGGTATGGTAAGTACCTTTAAATCCTCGACGCCCCCAAGACTCTCTGGCCATTCAACCACAATATCAAATAATTCGCCCACCCTTAAGCGACCCAGCCTACCAATAGCAATTTTTTTCCAACTCTCTAAATCCTCTTTCCTACGCTTGAGGTCAACCTCCTCTGCGCCTGCTCCAGCATCTACTTCCATCGCTCCCTTTCTGCGATTATCAAGACTTTGTCGGCTGGCCCTGAAGCTCTCTCTGGGACTTAATTTTTTCAATCTAGCCGTCCAATCCTGTTCGTTTGTACTTTTGGACGAGAATAAAACATCCACTACGAGACCACCGAGGACATGTTCTACCCAATCGTCAAGTTCGTGACCCACTTTACTCGGTGATTCCCAAACTCTAGCAAATTTTTCTTGGATATAAGTTGTCATTAACGAGTTGATTACCTGTCCGTTTCGTTAGCCATCTAATTTTCGAGAGATTATACATAAGGTGATCCTACTCACTTCTGCAAATACCCGTTCGCCTCGTCTTCCACCCCCACCAACTCCTAATTTTTCCATGCTACCCCAAATCTCCAGTACCTTCTTCCTTGCCTCTTCTCTTGGTTTCTCCTCTTTCCTTTTCCTTGTCCTTTCTTCACCAATCTTCTTGAATTTTTCGAATTCATTGATTCCATCCATCTCTTCCACATCACCCAGGCAGTTCCCGTCATCATCAATAATGATATCACCGTCCACATCGGTAACTGTATTAAAACTTAACTGACTCAAACCAGCGCCTTGGTAAGACAAACTTCCTTCACTGTTGAAACTGGCCTCTCCTGCGTCTACTACCGTATCTTGGTCATCATCTCTGGTGTCACTTGTTTCATCTTGCTTGACAGACAGCCCTACAGAAACCCCACAAAGCTCTAAAAAGACTGCAAAAACGAGACTACCCCACGCAGGATCTGGAAGTGAATAAGAAATGACGGAGTTCAGCGAGCGTATGAAACTCTGAACTCGTGGATCATCGTTCCCGTCGTCTTCAGAGCTAGGGACGTGCAGGTGTTTCTTTGATTTCCGCTTCTTTGATGGAATGAGGTATGATTTGAGTTGATGCAAATAAATGCTTTGAGCAGTTGTCAATTTTGATAGGATTTTCTCTAAAACCAAGGGAGCATTATCGTACTCCTGTAGATCACCACAAACAAATTAGCCCAAAGTTATTACCCAATCGTTTTCCATCACTATCTCAAGCAAACTGGGCGGCTAGGTTCCATACGGCGGGAATGCCAATATCCGGCTTGACCCACCCCAAGAAATGCCTCCGGACTTCGCAGATATACCACTCCAATAGACTCTCCCTCGTCCCCTCGCCCGAATCATCTGTAGTCGAGATCAAATATCTCATGGCCTCGAGCACATCCTTTGCAGGTTCCGAATGAAATAATTCGAGCCATTCTTCAATAGAACCGGGGAATTGAGCATTCTGGAACGACAAGTATGATGTTGCAAGATGCCATGCTCTTGATTCCTTGGCAAATAAAGCTGCAGGACTAGGAACCAGCGAGACCGGCGGAGGTGTTATTAGATTTGGGTGATGACGAGTATTGTACCCATGAGACGGCGTTGTTGAAGGGGGTTGGAGAGCAAGGGCTGGACTGGGTGAAGCGAGCGGTGTCGGGAGTGTCGCCGATGCCGAGGGAGGAAACACAGACTCAAAGATCCGCCGAGACGTTTGAGAGATGGGAATCGGTTGGATAGATAAAGAAGAGCTTGCCATGGCGAGGAACACCGCTGGTGTTTGGTCGGGTGTGGGGTATCTTGTAGCTGAGCGAGGGCCTCCGAGGGGATGTTGAGTGAACGCGTCAACCCTAGCCCTGTCCCTTGTACTACATACCATCAAGGCCCTAACCCATATCTGAGACTCCCTCCTCTCGCTACATCTTAGCAGCCAATCACAAGAAAGCTGGGCATCTGCTCCAACTCTTTGCTAGCAAAGACCTCACGATATACTATCTGCTATTTAATCTTAACTGTGGCTATCCGGTTTCCTCACATTATCAAAAAAATAAAAAATAAAAAAATAAATAAAAGGGAAAGAAAGGAGGTAACCTAGCTCCTATAACAGAAAAGAAGGCCGGGAACCTTGCGAATGTTGAAAGACATACATGTAGCTACATACATCTAATAAGTACTCGTATTTCTCTGACGTTTGTGGACGCGACTGATATTGCATGCCATACAAAAATACGCCAAGCTCATGATTTTGGGTGTATGCAATAATGGCCCAGTTCAAAAACGTCAGCGAAATACTAGAAATTATAACCTGCATATGCATGTGCATTTAAAAGCTTCTGATTGGCTCATAGAGAGAGGTTTTGTTTCATTTGAAACATGTTGTGTTGGATATATATATGAACATAGAGTATTATGCTGAGTGGTGTTAGATTGTTAATAGGTTTTCTACTGGTTTTGGGAATCGATTAATAGTTCGATTTTAGCGGTTTGGTGGCTGCTAAAGGGATATAATTGCAGCTTGAACTGGAGAAATTGTCTGACCTGTCCACTGATATATGGAGGATATCAGAAAAGGCACATATCGACCAAGCAGATATAGTGATGGACTTTGCCTGTCAGGAGGGGTCGAGGGCCGCGCAGCGGCCTGAGAGTCCCGACTGATAGGCAAATAGAGAAAATAAGCCGCAAAGCGGCTTGCCTGTATATTGGACTGGTTAATATACATGTAGTACCGGCCGAAGGCCGGAAACCACTTGTAATATATAGCCTAACTGTTGGGAATCTCTGTTAAAAAAACAAAAGGATGAAAGTGTTTGTAAATACATGTACATACAGTACGAAAAAAGAGGCTGTAATAGGTACTGTACTAACACGGAATTGTGTAAAACTTCCGAATTAAATCGGAATCCTAACTATTATACCGTAGCAATACCGTAACAATACCGTAACCCTACGGTATTTTGCCAGATATGGTACTGGATCCACCCGCTTTTTTGGTACTGTATACATAGTCAGGTGGGTTGTACCTGGTTCATACATGCACATAGAAAATACATCCGGGGAACCTTCCATGGGATATAAAGAAATAAAGAAATCTCCAGTCAACAAACGAACATTTAACAAATCTGTACGGCAATGGCGGCTGTTCTCTGTATTTCTAGCAGTATGTGGAGTTAATTCGTCACAATGCCGCATCACTGACGGTGCGAATTACATCGCAATTTCCCGCATTGTAATTCTCTTTTACGATATTGGCTGTGATTTATCATGATCATGATTGATTACTCGGTTACAGCCTTTCTAACGACAGAGAGCCGTTACTACTACATGTAGTACCTGTGTACTACTACATGTAGTACCTGTGTACTACTACATGTAGTACCTGTGTACTACTACATGTAGTACCTGTGTACTACATGTACTCATAGAAGAGATTGTAGTACCCCGAAGTTGTCTAAGTGTGTACTTACATGTATGTCTTATGACTGTACCACCGGAACAATTCTTAGTACGTGCAGGCGCAAGTACATGTCGTTAACTTACGTACATGTACTACATGTATTAAGCAAAGTGCAATTAATGGTCATGTAAGCCAGATACAAGTCGGCAGTTACGCACTCTTTATAAATATAGCTGTGACAACCAAGATGGAATATATAGAGCTTACCATCTAACACCCACTATCTTCAAACCTTAACCAATACTTGTACCTGTTCAGTCATCTTTTACCTACACCGCTGCTATTTTCATCATGAATAGATCAATACCCCTAGTCCCAGTGGAGAGAGATTATCTTGATGAGCTTATTAAAAAGGCTGCTGCCTGGGACAAATACCACACAAAATCCAGAGAAAACAGCCGTTTATATGAAGATTTATGCCTTGCTGTGCGTTTGAACGACAAGATCGATAGAATCTGGACTGTACCCTTAACTCAGACAATCATCGTCACTAACCTACCTTCCTCTATGGGCGGGGTAAAGTTGATGAATTCCTTCCGGGCCGTTCGTGGAATACGCTGTTATCAAATGTTTACCGTACCAGGAAGTGTACCTCACACGACTACTCTTATTACATTTGTAACTCCAACTTGTGCAAAGGAGTACCTCTCGTATGTTTCTGAGCATGGGTTCTTCCTCAGTGAGAGACTACCTCCTGGCTACGCTATCGGCGATACGCAGGATGAGTGCATTTATACCTCCCCTGATTCTCAGTTTCAATGCCTTTTTAGGCGTAGTCCTCATGTGATAGTCAAGCCATGGCTTGGTCCTGGGAAGACTGATGGGAAGTTTATTACTGGAAATGAAGGTGGCTACTGCAATGTTTCTCGCGAGATTGAAAAAGGGGCCACAAGGAGCTTAAGAATCATCCCTGGGATAGAGCCTAAAGAGCTCCAGAGAACACTGAGCTACCTTGCTACTGAGCTGGTTTGTTTCCCAAATCCTACCATACCCTTCAACCCTAATATTTATATTTTGTGATTACAGAAAGTTGAATCGTGCCGTCTTACTGCTTTAGCATCAGCGAAAGTATTGGCCACAACGATCTGTTTCTGTTCTGTACATGATGCGGCGATATTCAAGACCTATCTCACCTCCCAGAAAGCGTTTTCGGGTCCCGACGGCAGGTTCGTCAGATACGTTAAAAGTCCTACAGACAAACCCATAGAGAACCTTGGCTGGCATAACGTTTCAAAACCTAAGCTAATTGAGATACTATCCGTGGGCCGCGGTGTGACTCTTGGTATGCCCGAAGTAAACGACAACATGTACAAGAGTCTGCCAAAGAACGATTTATGTCCTTTCATCGCGGTTGGCGAACTTGATAACTACCGCTGTATCGTTGAACATTCAGAGGTAGAAGAGAGTGATACCGATATTGACGATAGAGAGATTTCCTTTTCTCTCGCAAAAGAAGCGTTCCTCCCATATATATCAACCAGTTCAAGTAGGATTTGTCTCACGAATCTATCTCATACACCCAGGGATCACTCTCCACCCCGCCCGAGGCCAGAAATTCACCCTGGTATTAGAGACGAAGAAAGAGATGGTTACAGACCGATAGTTGATGAATTAATTTCACCATCTTTAGAGACAAACACTTACCTTCCCGATGAGATTGACCGAGACAGCGAGAGGTATACCTGAAAACCGACTTTTTAACGTTTCACCCATCAATAGATGTTAATTGTTTGTTTGATATATATAGTTATCGACATGAGGTGATAACTCCCAAAGAAGCAGAACCCAAGAGAGATGTATATCTGAAAGAGATATAGTAGGTTTCTCTACTAGTGCTTGACCTGACAGGATGACTTTGAGAACTAACAGATTGTAGTCAATCATCTAGAGATCCAATAGTTGCAGTAAACATAGTGAATTTCAAACCTTCTATGCTGGTGGTCGGCTCTTTTCGCCCAGAGTAAGAAACGATTCCTTCTTACCCTACCTCAGAGAGAATACTAAGAGGAAGACTAGCTCCGGGGAAATGTCTTCATCTTTTAACGAAGTACTGCTTTCAATACCCCTTAATAAAACTGCAAGGCTTAGGTAATTCATATCTTTAATTCATATGACAAGAAAAAGTGGCTAAGGTTTTACAAATGCTATCGACTAGAACCTCTCAACTTGACGAAATAGGCCAAATCCAAGATGTGCCATGTGTTGCAACTCAAGCTGAAGTCTTAATCTATCGGAGCCCTTCACCAAGAAAGGTAGAGGTTGAGATCGCGAATGAGCTTGAGCCCGAGCTTAATCTCGAAAAGAATGCTTTAAAACTCTTGGACAACAATCAGGCCCGGCCAGGGCCAAACTCAAGCGAAGGTTCTACTGAGAATTTCCTTCAAAACACACCACCTCTTCTAGATAAGGAGCTCCTTGAGAGCTGGATGGATGATTTCTAGGTATCCGGTTACATTTCCTTTCGGCTTTCTTCTACCCGGTCAAATCTATGTGTATTTAGGGAACCTGTTTCGTAGTTAGACACATAATTCAATGCATCACGGGATAGATGACACATTCCTTTTTTGTAGGGTCCATTAACAGAGCCAGAGAGTTTAAAGTATGAGTACTTAATAGCCGCATAAAATTTCTACAGTTTGATGACAAATGCAGCTACTTATTTAATGTCATGGCCCAGTAGAAATACTAATTTTGATGAACACTTTGGGAGTGAATCAAGACAAAAAAGTACATACAGTCTTCCAATGCCTACCCACCTTCTATGGTTTGATTTAAGTTTAATGACATGCTGTGAATCGTCTTTACAGCAGGAGCCTTATCAACGAATCGACACAGGGCAACCATTCGTGTACGCATGTATCATCACAAATCATCACTCGGCCAGACTAAATCGATTCAGATTTAGAATAGTTGATTACTAACTATAGCCAAACATTTAGGTGTTGTGCTTTGAAATTTAGATCTTCATAAGCTGCTTAAAAAGAAATCAAATCTTTGTTGATCATCTTACGTTGTACCTACCTGCCTACCGCTGTATTTGAGAAAATTCGTTGCGCTGCAGTAGGGGTATAGGCCAACCAGAGGCAGTATTTGGACGTCAATATGCAGATGTGACAGATTTGTGCATTGGGTTCTTGGCACTCGCTTTGCTTGCGAGCAGTAAAGTGCCTTCATGTTGGTCCATGCCACAATCTCCCATCTAGCAACCAACGTCACATCACATTGCCTGGTATCTACATAGATAGCGACACCAAAGGCCATAAAATCAGTGTCCAAGCTACTTAGGATTCCCCATCATGGCTCACATAGTACAACTCTCCCCGCGTTGTGGTTTTTATTGCTATAATAAAAGAGCGGTTTAAACTAATGCTCAGTAGCACGAACTGAGGCTTCAAATACCATCTGAACTTGCACCTTCAGAAGCCTCTAGTCGTTCCTCTGTCAACAGCTTCAACTCCGATGGGGGCGAGTCGCCTTTGACTTACAAGCGTTTCTCAAACCTTGTCCAGCACTCGTTCGACGGGATCTCTTTATCTGATTTGATCATCGTAAAACGCAGCGATTGGGAGGCGCTGAACCACGAACTCACCAATGAGGGAGAGCTACATGAGCAAGCTAGAAAGTCGATCGAGAAGACTTACGAAGAAATCATGGCTACTTACAATGCTACTTTATCGGAACGATACAAAGAAGATATGGAAAAGATGGCAAAGAGAGTAGCCGAGCTAGAGTCTAAAGCTGAACCACTCAATAGTGCAGTGAAGGAGCAAAACTTAAAAGAAAACGGGGAGATGAAGGTAGGTCAAGAATTGGAAGAAAAATTGGTCACCGCCCAGGAGAGGATCATGGATTTGGAAACAAAGGTGGATTGCCTAAAGTTGATCCTTGCTGGAAGAATCACGGACAGGGAAAGGGTCTCTACCAATGGTGGTCAATACCACGTTGAAGCCGAGGAAGAAACCTCTGAAACTAAGTTGAAGGCGGAACCTACGGTAGAAAAAAAGCAACATAACATTCATTCGGTACCTTTGGGCCCACGGACTATTTTGCGCCCTAACCATTTTAAAAACGCTCGTGCTGTCATTCCCACGAATGGCAGTGCAATGACTCGTCCTCCCGTACCCCGAGCTACTCCGGGGGTGGTTTCTAGGCCCTCTCCTCGATACACTTCGCCCCGCATTACAACCGACCATTTGGTCAGCGATTCACGTAGCAAGCGGCGTGCAATTTATGTTGTCAATCTCGGGCCCAATTTCTCTCTTCCTGCACTTCTCGCCTGTATCACCCAGGGCGCACTTGAACGCATTATACCGTATCCTTACCGTGGAACTTGTCTTCTCATATTCGTACACTCAGCTCAGGCACATGCCTTTTTTTTGGCCGCAAACACTCCCACCAAAAAGCACCCGTTTTCAGGAAAGTCTAATGCCAATGTTAACTGGGCGGATCAAGCGATAGCTCGAATGGACTATTACGTTGCTAGTCGAATCGCCGAGTGCGGTGCAACTCGTATCGTCAAGTTTACTGGTTTAGAAGCAGCCGTAATTGGCGAGGGAGGTATCGGAAGCCCAGTGGACAAGGAGGGCGTTATTGCTTGGTGGGGCAGTAAGAACAATTATTTAATTGGTGTCACGATCAATGACGACTCAGACGGTCGAAGATCGGCCGTAGTTGAGTGTGAGAGTGTTCGGGATGCGTGGTGGAGGGTTCAAGAGGTGACATCAAAGGTCAAGGATTGCTTGTTAAAAGTTGGATGGGAGTGGGTGCCAGACTACTGTGCGTCAGGAGTAGTTGGTTTGGCTTGATAAAAAATTTCATTTTTATCTTGTCTGTGGGCCAATCGCAGATTATGGGGGAAGTCTGTTCGGTGACTGGATGAACTTGTGGATTCGAATTGAAGAAGGATAAGTCGCGAAAAGGAGTCTGTGGATGAGAGGTTGATATTCATTACTGGTTGTTCTTCTTCCAGTATATTTGAATGTTGCTGATGAATTCGAGATCTGAAGATGGATTTCTGCGGGAATCATTGGGCAGGATATACGGTAGAATCAGTAGCAAGGGGAAATGAGCTCATACTTACTGCTTGTATGGATTTAGTAGCAGCTTATAGGAAATCGAAGTCGAGTGCAAAATCTCTAGACTATGAAGAACTAACAGTGGAATAGATCAAAATATACCCTCATTTACATGTATTCTTAGCTGATCTCCTGGTACTTTCAGACTTGGAGTGGACATGCATGTGCGTTGTCTTGAGCTAAACCACTGTATATGTAACAATACTAAATTGTTTTTGTGAGAGCTTACATTCAAGCTTGGGACATGCATAAGCTCGAAATTCTCTCTTATTGTGCGCCATAAAATTAAACCAACCCTAACCAAAAATGTACTTCGATCGCAATACATAATGGTGGAAGGGCTTCCATACATGTATTATTCCTTATATACCGCCCAACAGCAACCTAGTTTCTCAAAAGCAAAAATTATAACAATCAAACCCAAGTACTAATTATTTCCTGAATACAAAAAAACCGATATCTCTTTGCAATTTGCCCTACAATCACATTAACAGCATAAGCCCACACAAGATCACCACGATCCACCCGCTGCCAGCCACAACACGTCCAATACCACTAGTAAACGGGGTCATGGTAGGTTGCATCACCCCCGTACCGGTTTCAGTTATAACCACAGTCGGACCAACAGATACAGTGACACTGCAGCGGCTCTGTTCGTCACAGATCGTCCTTGTCACCGTTGTACTAAATCTACAGTTAGTATCTCCATCGGGTTTTAAGTATAGCACTAAAAACTTACTTGGACGTCTGAGTCTTGGTGGATGTGTTGTTACTCCTAGTAGTGTTGTGGGACATAGTCATAGTGTGATTCATACGAGTGTAAATGCTAGTCATCCCAGTACCTGGGTATGTCATGGAGGTATAGTTCTTGCTCCAAGTTGGGTATATGGTGAGCGTGGGAGTGACAGTAGGGGTGAGATAGGTGAGGGTTGTCGTTGCAACCACGGACGGGACCAAGAGGTCAGCCATTGTGCTGCTAGCGAGGGCAGCGGTGAGGAAAAGTACGGTATAGAAATACATTTTAGTTGTTGGGAGTTATCAATCGATGTATAATTAACGAGTGAACGAACGGATGGATGGTGGGAGATGTGAAATAGGAATGCGAAGCATGAAGCTATATAGCTGGAAAATGAGGACGGATTCGGAAGAAATGCTTTCGGTCTTTAGCTCTGAGAGACTTAAGAGTCTAGAAACGGAGTGACGTTTTCGGACATCTTGTTTTTGCCTACAATCTATAGCCGATTTCTTGCAACCTGGCCTATGGGTCCTGGTCAATAATTAGACGGGTTCTCCCTAAAGCCTATATATCCTACTTGAATTGCGATTGATCACTCATTGTTCGTAACCTGGAGATCATGAGAGCTTTCTGAAGGAACCGAAAACTTCAGTAGTTACATGTAACCACATGCACAGCACATGCACACTTCAAACCATTGCCAAAAAATACTCTCCAAAACTTCCTTAACGCCCAGCCAAAACCCAAACCGGAATGACGCATTATCATTATGACCGCAAAATGCTCCCCTGAGTACTATTTTTCTCCGAAAACAGCGTCGCCGAGTTCAGGTTTTGTCTCATGCACCAAATCTTTGTTTGGTCCCGACATTCCTTCCTCTTGACATTCCTCGCTGGTTGATCATTTCCGTCGATTACTTAAGCTAAGATCTTCTCGATCTATTTTTAGATCACTTCTCTATTTTACAACGTCTAAAGATTTGGATTTCTAATATTTGTAAGATAACTGTTCATAGAATTGATGAAACTAGTGACCTGGTACTACCCTAGTTGAATTGAGTTTTTTTTCCTTTTGGCTGATACAATCATCAATATTTGCATTTTTCTAGCGATTAAAATAGTCATCTTTAGCATGAGTTAAACAAAAAAAAAAAAAAAAAAAAAGGGTTATCTGTAGATTTTCGCATTCATGAAATATTCGGCTAATCAACAACCTTAGTAGAATCTAAAGCTTTTAATTGACCAAATATTTTTAGGTGTTAGCATGTTTCGATTTCTGCTACTTGATTGTATACGTACCGTATTTCCATATGCCAATATATATTACCCTCTTCCTTACATCCACTCATTGATTGGCTCATATATAACAATGATGTACTCTCTATGTCTGTATCGTTGTATTACCCGCCGTTAATATTATGGGTTCTCAAACATAGAAAGGTATAAGCACCAGAAAGGTATCAATTGGTACCCATAAATGCAACCCATTGGATAACTACATGTAGCCAGTGGCACTTGAGAATCGTCCCTGCTCTGACCTACCCACTCTTGATCTCACTATTCTCAAATCTCCTGCTCTTCCTCTTTTATGTACACGGCCTCCACGCCCGATTAAACACTCATCCACCAATCTATGGCCACACCACTAAACAACACAACCGATGACCTTAACACCAATCCACGTTCACACCTTACTACAAACATCACCGCAGCTGATGATCATGCTATTCCAAAACAATTTTGCCCCCTCGATGTCACCAAAGCATCTCTTCACGCCCTGCAAGAAGGGGTATGGGTGCTCGCAACTACGGCATTTGAATTGATCTCTGCCCACGCATTCCAAGATGATCCGATCTCCTCGTCATCCTCGTCATCCTCGTCCCAGGCTTCCGAAGCTCCAGATGATATTAACCTCGAACCTAAGGAGTCTCGGGCCATCATCGTTGCGCTACTAGATCAAGCGGTTTCTACACCTCTTCCGAGGAATGTTCCTAGGCCCCGTATGAAGTGCTCCACTTGTAAGAATACGAAGTGGAACTGCAGCCTAGTTATTGACGAGGAGGACCCAGGGGGTGACGAAGAATCCTGCACTAGTGACTACGACTCTGAATATGAGGACGAGGGGGAAGAGGAGGAGGAGAAGGACGGGGTTACTAATCAAACAATTGATATGGTGCATTTTTGCCCTACGCTGCCGGTGCAGGTGTGGAACGGCGAGAGATTCGTGGAGCGGCCCTGCACTCATGGGCTAGAGGTTATTGAAGGATAGCTGTAGGGTTTTCAAATTTGGGAGGTTTAGGAACTGCATAGAGGGTACTAACGGATGTGGAAATGTTATCTTTGTACGTACGTGTCATGACCACGATCGGATAAATGATAATATGTGTTTCGGGGATTCTATGCAGTAGCGTGAGTCCGAAGGATGTTATCAACACATACATCGCATTAATAATTAGTATTTGTTACTATTTATGTACATATAAGGTTGATTTAATAACATACAATTACCCCATGAGTAAAATCTAATTCGCTCTATGCTTTCAAAGCCGGCCCCTGGGCTTAATTATTTCCAGCTCAAAACGGTACGGTTTTCTCCAACTCGAACCGCGCCGACCCCCTCCAGGAAGTCAGGGCTCTGTTGAATTCGTGGATAGCCTCCCACGCAATCACATATACATATATCCTCATTACCAGTGAGTATGGTAAGCTGATCCCCGGGCGCCTCTTCGAGCCTCTACACCCTATATCGTCCTGCTAGGGACAGTTTCCTCTGTTTGAACTAGTAATATCGACGTATATCGAGAAAGGGTAAGTGCTCTACCATGATCAGAGATAAATCTCGCCATCTGACTATGGGCCTGTTGACTTCAAAGTACATGCAATAACGCCTTTCTTTGGTTGGCGATTTTCGAGAAATATAGAACAACACGGAAACATCAGCTAATCCACCAACTTGAGTTACGAACCATGCGCATGCATGTAGTATAAAGTTTCTACACAGCAACTAGGTCTACGGCCCAGATACCCTGGGGTTGTCCAACAGGGAGACGGGAGCAGTTCTATAGCGAACTCTTCAAGCGAACTTTAAACCGTCAGGTGTATTCTTCATAGATCATCACTCGTATGAGTTTTCGAAGCATCTGTTGATTGATTGATGATTCATTCGTGTATGCTTGAAACATCTATTGAAAAAAGTAGGGCGATATATTTAAGTGGCTTGATTTTTTTTATCGACAAAGTATCTAACTAATTATATATTCACGGATCGGACAAGTATCAACATGACAATAACAGATATCGACATGACAAGTTCGGACAGCTCACCTATACGGATTTGACATTATTTGAAAAGATAAATATCCAACTGTATCAAATATGCGTATCTTAAATTCACTATGTTCTTCTTCAAATAGTCTATAGTAGTACTTCAGTATTATATTTCGGAGAGCAGAGCGTAGCCCATGTGCTGACAGAATGCGACGCGACTGCGGAAACCCGATCCGGTGACCATGACCATAATACTGTGGTCAAACTGCTCTGGACAGCAGCGGGTATCGATACAGTGCTGGCAATTTGGAAGCGATTCACGAAATGGCGACATGAGAGAGGAGGAAGAGAAGAGGATGGAGAAGAGGAAAGGAGAGAAATGGGATATGGATGGGGAGGACTAAGAGGCAGCGTTTAACATATTTCCATTGTATTATTTCATTTTACTTCAAGTCCGTTTGGATTGTGTGAGAGGTGGTGGAGGCAGATGGGAAGTTCAGGGGCTTAGTGCGATATTGCCATAACTGTAAGGTTGCATGCAATTAATGAATTAAGCAAAAAAAAAAAAAAAAAAAAAAAAAAAAAAGTATTATATTTACGTACTTACTATATGCTTAGTATTTATGCGATGATACAGCAGGGAATCAACTGTGGATGAATTTGGCCGGCGATGCCCGCAGTGCCGATATAAAGCTAAATTTCAAAAACTCCCTCATAGATACAAATACGATGTACCTACTCGGGGCAGGTAAAAAGTACTGGACAATGCAAGTTTTGTCTCTGGGGTTTTTTGCAGTAGCTCACGCCTAGCACGCAGACCCATTGGTTAACCAAAAACCTGCATTGTCCGGTACTTTTTACCTGCCCCGAGTACGTACGTACATACTTAATTGTAACTACCAGATGAAGTAGCGAGTTTGCTCACCTATTTAGTATAGCAGTGACACACGTGGCCTACATGTAGTTAAATAAATTTGAACTTGATACCTTTGTTACGATATCATGATCATACCACACTTATATTCCTCCTTCTCCTTCTCTCCTTCTTCTATGTGATAATCACGATACCGTTGAATTCATAGAGTGCACGGGGAGCCTATAAACTTATATAAGATCCTGTGAGCTATCACAAGAAGCAACTATGCCTTATTGGGATATTCTAGCCAGAGCAAGGGTTTTAGGTAAGTGTCAATGCAATAGTTTATATCTAGTTTTACCCCCTCGAATCTACGGAGAAAAGCATACGCAGTACAAGTACGTGTCAGTGAGAAATTTCTCTCTGTGATTTCAACTATCATGACTTTTATAGTTGATAAACGTCTAAATTCTCTTGTTACACAAGCTCTGGTGGCCAAGTTGGTAAGGCGCAGCACTAGTAATGCTGAGATCCTCGGTTCAACTCCGAGTCAGAGCAACTCAGATAGTATCCAGTTAAGACCTGGCTCAATTACATTTTGCTACATTTGTAGGCTCGTCCTCGTCTTTTACTGTTTGGTATGAAGTCGAGTAATTACGCTCGTGTATCTCCCAGACCGTCCCTGATTTTCAAGACTTTTAGGCCTGTGATTGTTCAAGACAGGAAAAGAGGAGGTTAATACGGATCACAAAGACTTGCAGCCAGGCCAGACCGGAGTAGTGATATCAGCACCCAGAGTGCCAATAACAAGCTCGGTTTAGGACCAACCGCGCGTACTACTTGCGATAAAATCAGGTGAAAACGATGGAGAGGATATGTAGTTGGTGTCAGTATATCGAGTGATACCACCATGGAAAATAAGTACATGTACCGCAAAAACTGGCCTCAGTGGCCGGTCGCACAAGACATTAGAATTCCTCTCTTTGGTTATTTGTCTCGAATATGACCTTAACCTCCATACTAGCCTACAAAGGCAGCTTCGACGTCCTGTGTGACCGGCCACTGAGGCCTGTTTTTGCGGTATTCATTGTACAGTCGCAACTCGATATGCCGGAACTCAATACACCGGATCCCTTGCTGTCCCGTACGAGATCCTCTGAGAATATTATTTTTCCTACTGCAAAATCAATTTGCTATCCCGGATTTTTTGCTATCCCGTACGAAATCCTTAGAATCTTGGCAATCCGGCATATCGAGTTGCAACTGTAGTTTTAATTCGCTTGGAGTTGACATCGCGTAGAGCCCCTTGCATATTGCCTTACAGCATCCTACGGTCCACTCTACCGAGAAATGCAGGTCAGACCCTGCTCCGGATGGTGGGGATGTACATACTTCTTGGCATGTAACTACCGATGATCATAGAGGATCACTCGCGTTCGCTCCTTGAGAGCTTTTCATGCGAGCTTTATTTATTAGTCCTAGCTGGTCACATGCGAACTATAAACAAGGGGATTATTCCCCTTATAAGGAAGTAGCGAGGACGAATGTGACTGCAGTTTCATGCGATAACTGCAGTGCACCGCACTGAAACGGAACATCTTCGTCGTCATGACATGCGAAATAGTGCTCTTGACCTTGGCTACGTCTACCCGTAGACTTACAGATACTAAAATACTTGTTCATCTTGTTCATCTTGTTCCTCTATTTAATTCCCCATAGCCAGGCATCTAGTAATCTGTCAGCAAGCCTTATCCTTTATCCCTTCCCTGAACCTGTTCTGGCGCTCGGCTCCGAGATTGTGAAATGCTGACTAAGCACGGTTCATCTGTGCCGATGGGCGATCATGGAGTGTCACTCGGAATTAGGCTTTTTCATTTTTTTTACGGCGCGGGCTTCTAGAAGGTTGAGATGTCGGGTATTTAATCTTGGATGAGATTAAGCCTCGCAGAATATTAACAATGGGATGAGGAGGAGGATATGGTGAAATGAAGTATTGGTGTATATTGGGCAAGGGAGTGTGCCGTGATATAGTGGTGGTACTTTGCTGTAGTTGCACTTTATATTGTGCCTGTAATATGAAAGGTGGAATGATCATGATGGAATTAAAGCAGGGCTCCGATAGAATTGAATGAATATAGAGTATATTAGTGAAGTATCTTAATTTCATCGATATAATATACATACTCGTTCTGTAGTTGTAGTACACTTGGTTCGTTTCGAGAGGAAACATCGTGTGAACTTAACTAGTGCGGTCATGATGAACCGCCCACTTTTTCGCCATGAACTCTAAACTCTCACCCGGTTTCCTCCACGGCATCTAAGCATCGCTTCTTCAAGTTTATTTTATTTTTAGGTATTACACCTCAATTACCCTTCTCCCGCTACCTTGATTGGCCATCACGCATTTGCACTTGCATCTCGCTCCCCACATTCATTTCTTCTTAACTCAATCTCACAAACGAAACATCCTCCTTCTCTGTTTCACGTTCTCTCGCCATCTAACGGAAATCACCATTGTGCCCCTCATCCTAAACAGGGAAATCATATCCGCTTGTCTGGGATTTCTGCACTGACCACTTGCAATTCCAGAACAATCCCCACGCCCTGCACGTGTTTGTTGGATGCTGTCCTGTTCTCGACAATGTCTCAAATTCCATCCAAAATCAAGATCTGATCTCGACGAGAAGGGGGTTATCGGGAAAACCCATTTTGTTCCTAGTTTGCCGAAGAGGGCCCGAGGTACTCTACCAATACTTTATGTAGGGGAAGTCTAGAACGGGGAGGCTTAGGGGCAAAAACAATTAGGTCAATTAACAGGTATTTTTCTCAAGCCCCCCCCCCCCCCTTTTTGACTCCGAACCGAAGAAGAATGAATCGTGTCTAATCGCCTCAGGTAATTGTTACGGTGAACCGATGATAGGTATCGAACTCACAGGCTTGTACATCTTGAATTTCTGGCCACTACCCCCCTATGCATGCTTAATCGTGCGTTGCAGTGCGTGCTTCAGGGGTAGCCGTTGAGATGAGAGGTTTGGGGTTAGACTTATTTCTGATTTGTGTGGCATGCAAGGCACAGACAAACGTGTGAAAAGGCAAAGACAGGGCAAAAAGGGCGATCAGAGTTCTCCTTTCTGCATGCATGTCCGGCCTGTGTGCCATACTCTACATATCGGCAGAAGTTTTTTGTCTTGTCCCTTCAAGCCTTCGCGCCCAGATCACACACCATTTTGGTAATCGCAACGGACGGGTACCTGCTTTTTGCAGCAGTACCTACAGGAGAGGGAGGAGATGTGTGTAATACTTTTCTACAAATCTTTTCGATCTTCGTTGGATGTGAAATGTGAGTCGGGTGGGCGGTTAGGCGCCAAACGATCCAAAACTGCCAACTCTGCCAAGTGAATAAACGTTCTTCAAATCTTGATTCAGGTTTCGCTCCAGGGGAGAGGCGAAAAAATTCGGATGATTCCATCTGGATGGCTGGAGGAGAAAAATGCTCTAAGCATGTCTACAGGGATGAGGCATTACCGGGGATTAGCCTTTTCGCTCTCTCGGTCGTAGCCAAGGCTTGAGCCGCAGCTTAAACCTAATGTGGCACTGCCCCTGAAAATGAAGCGAGATTCTCGCGTGTGCGGTTGCTATGTACTAGGACAACAACGAAAACAAGCTGGCAACGGTGTGAGCACTTTGTGAAGCTAGGCCGAAGGAGATATCTGGGGGGAAGGGGGGAAAGAAGTATTTGGTGTAGTTAACTTACATAACCAACCTGTGAGAATTCACGGATTATTCAGAGAATGGGAAACATCCTCCGGGTAGAACATGGAGGCAATCTCCCGAAAGAATAATTCTGGATGGATTGGGAAATTGGAAATTGGCTGTTGACGGCCCGCTAGAGCAGGAACTCGGCCCCCGCGACTTATTCTGGAAGTGAGATGGCGAGTTAGTTAGTCTGTTAAGGAAGCTTCAGCAGGATTTAGGAACAGGGGGAGGGTCACGGGGAGGGGGGATGGGTAGTGGTATTGGGGTTAGGTACATGCAGGTACCTGCCTACAGCTATAGTGGTGAAGTGAAGTGGATAGGGTGGATGTGGATGGATGGATGGGAATTCATGCTCGAAGATTGTGGGGGAAAGGTTGCAGGGGGTTTGGGTCATTGTGGATTGTGGATTGATTGAACATCAGGCTTAGCTTCAGTGCTGGGGAGCTCAACTCTGAACTGTCGCTGCTACTCTAATGTATGTACAGTAGGCAGAGACAGGAAATCGGCCAAAATCAAGCAATCAGCGCACAGAGTCTGGTGGCCAATTCTCAAATTTCGAGGAGGATGTGCTGGTGGTGGTTGTGGCACTGGCTGGTGCTCTGATGATGGGTCTCATAAACCTCATTTCGTGGGCGCAGACTAGACTGCAGTAGTGGACCACTCACGGGAGTGATACCCCTCGGCTGCTCTAAGCTATTCCCCTTACAGACGCAGAGACAGTTACCAATTCACACATCTGAGCTGTATGCCTCTATGCTATGCTTCTGTCCCCACTATCCCGCCTTAGTGGTATGGCTGGTAATTGTCTCTCCTTTACTCTTTCGTCAAATCCTTAGCACTCAAACCCTCGACATCCATTCCTTTTTAACCAGCTCGTTTCCCCCCCCAACAGCAGATTCTTTCCCTCCTCATCTCGCTATCACACACGGTCTCTTCGGTTTCCTTTCGCTCTTTACATTTTTACGCAACTTACACACTCATTAATCAACTTTTCCAACAACCCCAAACAATCCCAATAATCAGTCAACATGCGTTTCTTCATGAGCTCAGTTTTTGCCATTGCCGCCTTTGCCACTTCCGTTTTGGCTGGCGAGAACCCGATCATCTTCCCTGATTCAACCCACCCCATGACCGCTGGCGAGCCTTACGCCATCACTTGGACTCCCACCAACAACAATTTGATCAAGCTCACTCTCCGAAAGGGTCCTTCAGGAAACCTTAAGGATATTTTGATCATTGTTGGTGAGTAGACTCTAATAGTTTAACTACTACTACTCCATTTAGACAATTGCTAACAATATTACAGGCGACTACACCAACACCGGTACTTTCACATGGACCCCTAACCCAGACCTCCCCGCCGGCAAGGACTACGCGGTCATGATCACGGACAAGGCGGGTAACATCAACTACACCCCTCTCATTGAGCTTAAGGCCGCCTCCCCCGAGGCTTCCGCAGCATACTCATCTTACGTCACCCCTTCATCCACCAAGGCTTCTTCCACCAAGGCTGCTGCTTCAACCACTGAGACTCCTTCCGTTACCACCACCGAGGCCCCCAAGACTACTGTCATGACTGTTGTCCAAGGAAACTCCACCACCATGGTCACCTCTGTCATGTCTTCAAACGCCACCGTCACCACCGGACTCTACGGAAACTCCACCCACAGCACCTCCACCCGCTCTTCGAAGCCTACCTCTGACGAGACCTCAACTCCTACTGACACCGCTATCTCTACCGGTGCCGCTGCCGGTCTCCTCAAGAGCCCCCTTGCTTTGGTGGTCTGCTTGATCGGTGCCGTCGTCTACTTGAACTAGAGTATAAAATATAATCATTTGTGAGGCTTAGCGACCTTTTTTGTATTTTTTTCTCTCTTTTTCAGCATATTTGTTTTAGTAGCCACTTGCATTAATAATTCGGAGCGATATCTGGTTCTTTTGTAATCTTGAGCATGACTGGATGGCAAAGCTTGGAGTTGTCGGGGTCGAGGTGTGGTGGGATGAGTGTCAAGTAGTTTTTTTTTGGGAGGAATGTGGGTGGTATGTGGGGGAGCCACTTGTGTATAAGTTTACGGTGTGCACAAATGAAAGCGGATCTTCTTTAAAAACTCTCTTATTTTTTGCTTTGTGAGCGTGCGATTTTAGCCCCATTGTGTCTTTGCGATCATTTCTCTGTTTGTTCTTATTTTTCCCTTTATATCAAGTCTCGGTGGGAAGCGCTCCTGCAATGGTCTATGCTAGTCTGTAAGATAATTTCGTTGGTTTGCGGTTGGTACATGTCAAGTTAGTAGGCAAATAGTAATATGTTTATTTCCCTGTTCTACTCTACATGAAGCTCGTATCGTGGATCGTATCGTGGAGTGCTGTTCTTTACAAGCTTTCGTAAAAAAAACCGTAAAGTGCACATGCACATTGAAGTCAGTATCAACTAGGTCAACCATCAAAAGCCACCAATTCAGAATACGATGTTTATAATACAATCTGATATTAAGTTGTCGACGGCGACATTGCATACGTACTGTACTTTCTAGTTGCCTCAATATCATCTGATCAATCTACCCGATACATACAATTCATATAGTACAATACGACTCCCATCCTGTCGTGCCCCCTCGCCCCCAATTGCATTCCACAGCACGCCGCCGTAACTGCGCATATACAATACCTATGACAGTAGGGTAGAGCATCATTCGACCGCGAAAAGAACAGAAAACAGAATGCCTGTACCACCAGAACGTGGTAGATAGACTTATCTAGCCCAGTACCAATCTCACGACCCCTACCTCCTTCCCGCCCTAGACAGGCCCTCTAAATATAGCAGCACTGTAGTGCACCCATGGACCAAGAAACACTACCTACTCTACACCCCCACAGCAGAGGTGGGCTATGCTACTACCCTACAAGAGGGAAATTGGATTCTTGAGGTATTTTGTTGCTGCTGTTAGCAACAAGTGACATGGGGTACTAATCTTTGGCGCGGAAGTGATTACTGTGCGGTAGTAACCAAATTTGCTTGGGATTAGGTTTCGGGGATGATGATAGTCACCCGCCCGAAAACCTAACCCTCGGAATGGTGGTCCTTTTCATTTCCTTTTCTCTTGGTTCTCTTGGTTCTCTTGGTTCTCTTGGTGAGGTGGTGATGGTGGTGTAGCGCGCGCTGGTTGCACGTTACGTTGGTGAAAAGTCTTGTCGTGACGTCGACTGGATTGGTGATAGGCGCTTGCGTACTCTACAGTCATGTCGCGTGAGTATGTACCGGTAGTGTGGGGAGAAGGGCATTTTGGTAATTCTTTTCTTCTTCGTTAAAAGTGCAGGTTTGGAAAAAAAAACAAAAGGTTCGTACGACTTGGTGGCTGACTGGCGGGACACGAGGATCGGGTTGCGGGGTATATATGGTGTATAGGAGGGTGTTTTTAAGGTCGCCGCTGTTACGGGAGTGAAAATAGTAGTTGAAAAATGGGGTGATGTGGTGTGTGAACTACTATTGACATAACGGTCAATGATATACGGCTTTATGTCATGATCACTACTGTGCGCAGATAATCAATTGCTCGCCGATTAGTAAAGAACGAGAATTAGTAGAACGCCGGCGCTGTCAATTACCGTAACATTTAACGGTCACTTACCTCTCCCGGTAGTAGAGGCGACAATCGCCGTAGTAGATAAAACCCGATGCGGCTAACCACCTTAATAAAAATTCCCCACCAGTAAAAAAGTGTAGGAAAAAGTATCGAAAGGTCCTGCCCGGAGTCGAACCGGGATTACAGGAATCAGAATCCTGGGTGCTAACCATTACACTACAGAACCATGCAGCGCCCATGCCTCGGATCATTAATACTCCGCAGACATGCTCACGCACAAGCTGTCACTCGGTTACGCTACTTGCAGGATTTTTTGATGTGTCCAGCGGAGCCTTTTTTCGCCGCACCTCATTAAACGTGACTTCTTGCTGTCAGATTTCACGATACACCCATGGCCAGATTATTTCAGAATTTAGTGAAAAAAAGTACCTACTATATACTTGGCTAGGTAATCGCCGGACGGTACGATAAAGTACTCCTCATGCGACCGTTCAAGTATATTGGTACCGCCAGCGCAAGTACTATAGGAGCCTCGAGACTTTGCTCCAGAGCTGTCACGAGAAGCTGATACCTACCTTTACCTAAAATCGACCGCCGTAAACTCGCGGTAATTACGACGGCTTCTAGAGACCCATGGGACCACTACTTATAGCAAAGCCACAAAGCACCCACACCCCGGCCCACACGTAATTCTATAGAATCGACTCATATAGATATGACATTGCGGACCTCCTTGTTCTCTCGATATGGGACTTTTACCGCCCCCTCAGGAGAAACTACGCGCCGGTAGGGCGGCCTCAGCGGGTGGGAAAGAAGAGACGTGCGTATGTTCTAGAGGTCTAATAAGTTTTTACCCCCGCTTGCGGAGAGATATACCCCGTCGGATTGTGAGTGGGC